TTGAGCCACATCCCCAGCCTTGCCCAACACTTTTTATTTTTTATTTTGAGGCAGGGTCTCACTAAGTTGCTGAGGCTAGCTTGAACTTGAGATCCTCCAACCTCTGCCTCTCAAGTCACTGGGAATGCAGGCTTGTGCCACCATGCCTCACACTAAAACTGTTTTCTGGTAAATGAAAACAGGTAGTTTTTATTAACATGTTATAAACATGTTTATTCTGTGAGAACAATGAGGAACAAATATACATCGGTGTTTTGTTTTGGCTTTCTTAGGTTAAGAATTATAGAATTACATGTCACCCATGCCTCCTAGCCCTGGGCCTGAATAAGTGCTATAAAAAGTACACAATGAATAAAGGACAAATTGGGGCTGGGGTTGTGGCTCAGTGGCAAAGCACTTGCCTAGCATGTGTGAGGCACTGGGATCCATCCTTAGCACCAGATAAAAATAAACAAATAAAATAAGAAAAGACAAGTCAGTTGTGTTGGTGCAGGCCTATAATCACAGTGATTCAGGAGGTTGGGGCAGGAGGATTGCAAATTCAAGACCCACCTCAGCAATTTAGGGAGATCCTGTCTCAAAATAAAAAGGGCTCATGGTGTGGCTCAATGGTAGTCATATACACACAAAAGGAAGAAAAAAGAAAAGAAAGAAAAACAAAAATAAAAAGAAAGGACAGTCTATTTGTCTCAGAAAAATAGAAATTTCCCCTGATAAATAGTTAAGGACTAATTATTTTTTTTCTTATATTTATTTATTAGTTGTAGTTGAGCACAGMATTTTTATTTTATTTACTTATATGTGGTGCTGAGGATTGAACCCAGGGCCTCGCATGTGCTAGGCGAGTGCTCTACCGCTGGGCCACAACTGCAGCCCCTGGGATTAATTAATTTAATACATATTTCAGGGCTTGAGAATAGTAGCTCAGTGGTAGAGCACTTATTCAGTATGTGTGAGATCTTGGGTTGGATACCAAGCACCAGAAATATAAGAAAACAAAACAAAACAGAACAACCTATTTCAGCCAGGCATAGTGTTGCATGTTTGTAATTCCGGCTGTTTGTGAGGCTGAGGCAGGGGGATTGCAAATTCCAGCCCAGCTTTAGCAACTTTGAAAGCCCATATCTCAAAAACAAACAAACAAACAAACAAATAAACAAACACCAAAAAAATTGGGCCAGGGATGTAACTCAGCAGTAAAGCACCTCTAGGTTCTGGTTCTGTCCCCAGTTTCACACACATACACACACACACACAAAAAAAAAATCCAACAGATTTCTCACTATGTTTTCTTTTTTCTCTTTCTTTCCCACTCTTTTTTTTTTTGTGTGTGTGTGTGTGTGTGTGTGATTCTTGGGCTAGAACCCAGGGCCTTTCATATACTAGGCAAAAACTCTAAAACTCTACCACTGAGCCAATTTTTTTTTTTTTTTTTAAGTATGTTTCAGTATGCTGCCCAGGGTGATTTTGAACTCCTTGCCTCAAGTGATCCTCCATCTCAGCTTCCTAAGAATGAGGATTACAGGTTCAGGCCATCAAACCCAACTTTACTTTCTATTTAAGGCCCTATGCTAATATACCTAGCCTAGTTATCTCATTAGATCAGAAGCCAGCTTGTCACAAGTTATGAAGGATTCATTTCTGTTTTCTGTAAAAATATCAGGATGTCTGTATGGCCTGGCCATTAGTTGATGTTGTAAAGCTGATTGGAATGCCTGCCCGTGCCCTGAACTCACCCAGGTCCGGTTTTCCCTGACCATATAACAACCCTTTCCTAAACCTTAGTGACGCCTCATAAATTCTGGCCTTCCCTGGCCGGATAACGACCTTCTCTGAGTCTCTAAGATCTCCATAAATTCTGATGCTGGGGCCAGCAAAAATGTAAACTTGTGTTATGCTCTTCAGAGTGTTGTTATCTGTAACCCCCCTTTGTGTAACTTTTTGGGCTATAAAACTGGGCCACAAAGAAGCCTCGGGGCTGTCCTTGGCTCCCACGATTCTGAGGGGCAAGGCAGCCCGGCCGGTGGAAATAATAAGCTTGCTTTAATTTGATTTTAATTGGAGTCAGTGGTCTTTTCTTGCTTCGTGGTCCAACATATGCCAGGTAATAAGCAAGAGAAATATAGAGAGGAATAAGAATTAAACTCTACTATGAAAAAAAAAAAAACTTACTCTCCAGGAGAAGAGAAGAGTGTAAAATTAACCACAGTGTTGTTACAGAAGAGATCCCTGGAGGAGTTCCCAGAGAGAAGGAGGAATTTGACCCAGGGTATGTAGCACCGTTGGGTTACTTAACAGAAAAGAATTTCAGCATGCACTAGTAAGAGTCATAGTAGACTAATATTCAAGGGAAAACACAGACAATCTCAAGGGAGGGGTGTCTTTGGGGCTACAGCAAGAAATACACACATTAATGGGTAAATGCCAGCCTTCTCTAGAGTGACAGTTGCATTTTCTGTTTTCCTGGTTGTTCTTTTAASGGGCAGGTATGGGAGAATATGTAGAAATAATAGTCTGGTGATGTCAATATGATTATGGTGGTAGGGTCAATCTCAGGATCTTTAGGCCAATGTGATCTCTATCATCTGAGCAATAGATAACACTGCAAATCYCCTAAATTATATATTTCTCAAAATTTTGTACCTCTCTTTACTTAATATATTTATTGGGGGTTAACTAACAGTTTACAGGTAGATTTACAGATTTCTGAGGAATTTGGGAGTTAAAGGTTGGTAGTCAGACTRGTGTTAGGAATGACAGGCCACCAGAAGTACAAACTTCTGAATTAGAATGTAGGTTTTTTTGGTCCTTTTTTAAAAATGTTTTTTAGTTATAGATGGACGCAATATCTTTATTTTGTTTATTTATTTTCATGTGGTGCTGAAGACCAAACCCAGTGCCTCACATGTATGAGACAGGCACTCTGCCACTAAGCCACAACCCTAGCCCTTTCTTGTCCTTCTTTTATGTCTCTACCTATTTTTTCCCTCTTCCTGCCTCATGCCAGTGTTATGAAGTTCTTTGAAATAAACTGCAATGTGGCAATTCAGATGAGGCTTTAAGCACTTGTCAGATGTTTCCCYACTGATTCAAAATAAATGATTAAGAAAATATAAAAAAGTGTGCGCGCACACTGTCATATGTCCAGCATAGTGGCTGGACAGCATAGTGGCTCCTGCCTGTGATCCCAGCTATTGGAGAGGCTGAGACAGAAGGACTGCAAATTCAAAGATAGCCTGGGAAACCCGGGACACTCCATCTCAAAAGAAAAAGAAAAAAAAAAAAAAAGAAAGAACAAACAAAAATCACATATAATAGCCCCATCAGGTGAAAACCACTCTTAAGCCTTTAGTATATTTTTTTCCTCCCATGTTAAGTCGAATCCTCCTGTCTCAGCCTTCAGAGTCGCTGGAATTACAGGCAAGGGGCACCACATCCGGCTCCTACCAAGTCTCTTGTTTTTACTTTTTAGTTTAACGCAATATAGGGGGCGGGGGCGGAATCCACATGGTATGGAAAGGGATACCAATGAAAAAGTTAAAAAGTTTCTCTCCCCCAGACTTAAGAGCTAGTCAGGTGTGGGGCTGCATGCCTGTAATCCCAGCGACTAAGGAGGTTGAGGCAGGAGGATCCCAAGTTCARGGCAATTAGCAAGCAATTTAGCAAGACCCTAATCAGTTTAAGGAGAACCTGTCTCAAAAACAACAACAACAAAAACAACATACTGCGAATGTGACTCTGGTTAAATGCTCTGGGTTCATTCAATCCTTGCTTAAAGGGGAAAAAAGAAAAAGAAAAAAAAAAAAATAGAGCTAGCCTTCTTTCTCTGGAATTTAGAATTAATGCAAAACGAGCACATATAACTGCCTTCATATATGTACACATGTCTCTCAACTTAGAAAGACCCTGTCTCAAAATAACAAAAATAAAAAGGGAATGGGGATATGGCTCAGTGATTAGGCACCTGAGTTCAAATAGTGGGTTCAAAAAAGAAGCATACAAATGAAATTACACTACCCAGACAGTGCTTTGTATCTTACTGTATCTACTTAATAATAAATGAAATCTTCCCTAAGAGCAGCACACAAAAGGCTTCCTTTTCTGAGCAGAGCAGGAGCAAGTCCAATGTGTGCAAGCTTCCTAAAATATAACAAGAGGGACTGGCAGGAGAGAACAGAAAGCGGGTTAAGTGGGAGACAGCCCCATTTCAGGATGAGAATTAAGAGACCACGTTTGGAGAGGTAGGCCAAAATGGTTGGTTTGTATATTCATGAGTGAAACAAGTTAGACTAGATTAGGGGCTGGAGTTTGGGAGGCCAAACATTTTAAGAAGTCCAGGAGGCAGCTGAGTTTGGAAACGAGAAGGGATCTGGCATTGGAAAAACTGCAAGTCTGGTTAGTTTTCTCAATTTTAACACGGTCTAGTTATCAATGCTCCCTTTTGACTCCAAAGACAGTGTTTTTTTAATCCACGCGGCATGGCGGAGGCCTCATTTGGCGCCTTTTCTTTTTCCTATGCCCGAGGCTAGGGCAGGTCCTTTTGCGCCCGGTACCTGGCTACACCCTAACCCTTCCCTGCCCCCGCGCCGCGGGAATTCTGAGATCTGGGCGGACCTTTTACTAGGAACTCTAAAAATCAGAGATAGGACAATGCGGCCGCCAGTCAGAGCTCCTGGATACCCGGATGCGAAGCGGTACGCTATACAAAGGCGAGTTTCCACCCGGCGCTTCGTCTGGTACAGTGGCCAATAAACATTCCTCAAGCACTAAATGACAGGAATAGTAGCCAGTTACAAACTAGTTTCTGTCACGCATGTGGAAATTCTCCGACTTGGACTAACCCACTTCTGATTGTGATTGGACAGAATTGTGAAAAGCGGTAGTACTGTCTATTTAGGAGCAGGAGCGAGAAGAGGAACAGCCAATAGGAAGGTTCTTGGGAGGGAGGCGGGGTTTAGGTCTTCGCCTCGGCGGCAGAGGAGACTCGGGGGCCATTTTGTGAAGAGACGAAGGCTGAGCGGTTGCGGCCGCCTTGCTGACCTCGAGCAGCGGTCGACTTCTTCATATAGAATCTGGGAGTAGGAGATTCAGAATCGAATCTCTTYTCCCTCCCCCTCCTGGTAAGTGGAGGGGGTGGACGCAGTGGGGGCGCTGGGTTTTTTAGGGAGACCGAAAGGGTGTGGGAGAAAAGACGAGGGAACCTTCCGCTCCGCAGAGTAACCAGGCCCGCATTTATTTTTTCTGCAATGGGGATTAGGTCTGGAGCGGGAGAGAGTTTACRGGCCTCAGCCTCTGCGTAGATTTAACCTAGTGTCCTTTAGGCTACTCTCGGCAAGAAAAATGTGCTTTTTTCGCTCTAGTGTGTTTAACGGCTTCTTTCCCTTTCATTTTCTACGACCGTCAGGACTCCCGAGATAACGAAAGTGAAGACCGAGAGGCTCATAATATAATTGCAGTTAATGTATAATTGGTGCTTTTTAATAACATTGCCTTAAATTTAAAAATTGGGCGGGGGGATGAGGACGGGTAGAGGTATGGCGAATTTTATAAATTCCGGAACATGCCACATGGCATAGGAATAATATTTTAACAATAGATTTAGTATTTTTACCGGTTACTTTTCATTTTTCGCTGAGCAAATGCTGGATCTCCAAGTATTTACTTATAACTGTTTGTTAAAGGAAATATTGTTTATATTTAACAGTAATAATTACAGCTGACTTTTTTATCTGCAGGTTACAAATCACTTGAAATATATAAGTTAGTGGATCTTTGCTGAGGTAGGTATTAATATCTTTCTCAGACAGGAACTGAGGCATTAAGAGTATTGGTTGACAGKATTATATTAAACCAGTAGCAGAACTACTAAGGAATTTGATGTTAGGTAGGTCAAGTAGTTTTACCTAGTTATTGGAACACTAGGTACTAAAACCCTATRTTCTATTTTTTTTTTTTTAAAGAGAGAGAGAGTGGGAGAGAGAGAGAGAATTTTTTAARTGTTTATTGTTTAGTATTTGGCGGACACAACATCTTAGTTTGTATGTTTAGTTTTTGGCGGACACAATATCTTAGTTTGTATGTGGTGCTGAGGATCGAACTCGGGCCGCACGCATGCTAGGCGAGCGCGCTACCGCTTGAGCCACATCCCCAGCCCCMAAAACCCTATATTCTAATTYAGGAGAAACAGTTACAGAAACTCTTTGGTAACTGGAAATTCCTAAAACTCCTGGACTTGGGGGGAAAAAAAATTACCAGACTTTGGTTTGTTATTAATGTAACTTGCTATGACGACAGAATTAAAATTTGACCCTTCAAGATATTGTCCATTAATTCTGTACATTTGAACTTGGGCAGTAATGCACAGCTACTTTTTATTAAGCCAAGTATTGTAGTGCTTATTATCTGCCAAATGCTGAAACCTCATTGTAATATTGGCTAACATAAAAAGAATATGGGTCCCAGGTGTAGTTCAGTGGTAGAGCACATGCTTAACTTGTAGTACACCCTGGGTAAAGTCCTCAGCATCACCCTTTAAATAATAACTAAAGTAGTATCACATTGGCCTATCTGGGAAATCACATTTTAAAAAAATCCTTGCATATGATTTATCATTACTTTTTTTWAACAAAAACTAATATCATTAATCACAGTTTAAGCTAATACATTAATTTAAGGAAACAGTTTGATATGGGTAAGGGCGAAGACTTTTTGAAAGCCTAAACGTGTATTATTCGTGGGCTTAAAAATTTATCACTGCTGAATAGTCAGAAACCAAGGTAAGGTGTGGTCTTGCCTTCCTTTTACCCTGTCTACTGGGGAGGCTGAGATGGGAAGATCCAAGTCTGCACAACTTAGGAGAACCCTCTCAAAAAGGGCTGGGGATGTGGCTCAGTCTTAAAAGGGCTAGCCTATACATGTAAGGACTGGGTTCAATCTCTAGTGCTGCAAAAGAAGAGAAATGAGGTTAAGGGCTGTAATTGATTAYCTATCAAAAATATTGGTAGATGTCAGAAATTAGAATGTAAGAAAGTTGCTGATAAAAATTGAAATTAATTCAAGGGTACTTTTCTTCCCTTGACTTGTTAGAAATGGATATTCACATGTAATCAAGGAAAAAAAAGTATATCAGGAGCTCTAGCCACAGACTATCGAACMATTCTAGATGTTTTCTCAACTAGGTAAGAATCTGATTGTACTCAGAGGAAGGGTTTAGGAAGGATGACAAGTTGTAGGTCTTCAGATCTTGTTATGCTTGAGTCATTCTTGGTAATAATTAATGGTGGTTGCTATTACTTCTGTAGAGAATTTAAATATTGCTTATGTTTGTAATTAGATCTCTAGAGGTTTTGACGTAATATGTGATATCATTTGAGATAAAATGACTGTTAGGAACAAGCAAGGAATAAATTCCGAAATAGCTAGTTGTAAAAGMTCAGTAGTTAAATTGCCAGGTTCAGGGATGCACGTTTGAAATCCCAGAGGTTGAGGCAGGAGGATTGATTACAAGTTCAAGGCCAGCCTCAACAACTTMAGACACTGTCTCAAGAAAAAGAGAGGGGTGCAATTTAGTGGTAAAGTACTACAAAAAGAGGGGAAAATGAAGTGTTGATTGTGAGAGATTTTAACTAGGGAGTATAACAGTGGAAAGAATCCTGGCTTAGGGGTTTGGAGAACTGAATTTTATCTTGCTCATCGCATCTGTTATGTCAGGCATATCAGTGGAACTTCTAGATTTGAGTTTTATAGCTGTTAAATCAGGGGGCTTAGACTGTATTTTAATTTCTTCTTTTGGGGGGTACCAGAGATTGAACTCCCTGGCACTGGACCACTGAGCCACCTCCCCAGCCCTATTTTGCATTTTCTTTAGAGACAGAGTCTTAAGTTGCTTAGCACCTGGCTTTTGCTAAGGCTGGCTTTGAACCTACAATTCTCTGTGTGCCAAGGCGCCCAGCTCTTATTTTAATTTCTCTAATGCAAATCACCTTGTTTCCAGAAGACTGGAAAGTGGAAAAAGTTTTTATTAAAACCARTTTTCTGGTTGGGTATAGTGGTATTCCCGAGGCTATCTTCAGCTGAGACTCTTAAAATTTAAAAAGGCTAGGGTTGAAGGTTGGTAAAGCACCCCTGGGTTCAATCCCCAGTACTGAAAAAATAAAAGCAATTTTCTAAATTAGTAATTAATATTAGCAACTGACCATAAAAACTGTATGTCAGTCTTCGAAATTTTATTAGGCCATTTTGGAGGGGGGTGACCTGGGATTGAACCCAGGGTACTTAGCCACTGAACTACAACCCCAGGGTTTTTAATGTTTTATTTTGAGACAGTTTTCCTAAGATGTTTAGACCTTCACTAAGTTGCTAAGGCTGACCTTGAAACTTTGTGATCCTCCTACCTCAGCCTCTGAGTATCTGGAATTCTGGTATCATTCCAGGCTAATATTTGTTTTTGGGAGCATTGTTTGTTCTTGCTTAATATTTATGTGTTCATTGTCATTGGAAACAGGAGGTTATAGTTTGCTTGCATGTATTAGATKTATTTTTCTGATTTGTGAAAACCAGAAATGTTAGGTATAGCATAACTGCAGGTACTGTTTTAGATGCTGAAATGTTTGCATTTATAAAAGGAAAAAAGATTACCATTGGGTTTTGACTCCTCTGGTATATTTACTGTGAAAGGAGGGTTACATTTTTGGGGGTTTGTTTATATTAGATCAGGAAAACATTTCAAGCATTGTGACAGTTGATACACTGGAAAGGTAAGGCACTTTAAGGAATTGATTAGGGGGTAAGGTTTCCTCAAATATTCACAATGAATCTCAAACACAGGATTAACTAGAAGACAAGTTGAAGACAAGTTGAACTGCTGGGTCTCCCACCAGTTTCTAATTAATTCAGATGGTGCCTTGTAATTTGCATTTCTAGTGAGTGCCAAGTGATGACATTCATGCTATTGGTTGGCATAAGTCACTTTGAGAATACCATTTTAGAAGAAGGAATCCAGACTTAATGGGTTTTGACTGATCTGTGATAACTCCTAATAGAAAAGCTTTGCAATAGATTTTCATGGTATGGTGTGGTGGTGTCTTGATTAACATATTAAAGGACGGTATTTTCTTGGCATTGAGAAATGTAAATGCTTTCTTTTCATGCTTTTTAAGGGTGTGTCTTGCAGTGTGTATGCAAAGCATTTGTGGACAAGCCATAAATTTAACATTCTGACAAATTTTTTTACCAGGTTCAGAACATGATTCCACACAGGAGTGTTCCACAGTAATTTCAATACTGACTTGAAGGGGATAATATTCAAACGTACATTCTCTATAGTATTTAACATTTTCTATAGTATTTACATTTGTACASTATTACCCATTAAATATAAAAGTATGTCATATGTAAACATGTCTGCTTTTTAAAAATTTAGTTAAAAATCTGAATTTTATTACCTGTTCTGTTGCTGTAGTCTTTCATTACATATTTGGCTCAAGGAACACATTTTCAAAGGTCAGGTTAAAATTTTTATAGTTTACTCAAATTTAGGGAGAACAAGACCATATGACAGTATGGAAATATGACTGCAACCAATTCATGCTTACTCGTATTAGCTACAGTCCAATTCCTTTAACTGATGAAACACCCATTGTGTCATGTGTAATTTATTTTAGTATGGTATTATGTATCAAGAGTCTTCCAATTCACTATACTAGATAAAAAAAACACACAGAACCATTCTGTAAAGACCATAGTTTTATTTCACATGTTTTATTACATTAAATATTCAGTAGCCACAATAGTTAATTTTTTTTCCATCTGTATCGTTTTTCATTTGTCAGTGAGTGGACTAAATGGGCTCCTTATTTAAAAATACCTTTCCCCCTAACTGTAGAACCTCATTAGGCCTTTTGGTTTGATCACTCATTGGTTTTGAGAGTAGGTAACTCATCTTTAGTTCATATCTTCATGATAGACCATTCACATTCAGTCCATATTACTCAAGAAAAGTACATGAGTCTGCTTACCTTCATAACCTCAGTATTTGATATTTGCTCACTTTTTCATCTCCATTTGTTGGCCTACTTTTTTTTTGTATTTTTCGTGCCCAAACTGAAGATTATTGAGATGACTTGTTCATATGTATACTCTCTTCAGAGCCCCCTAAGGGGACTCTGACATGTATTTAGTTATTTGGCCATCTATTGATGTTGAACTGTAAATACAGTCACTGGTAGCAGTGATAATGCTTATCAAGGCTTACCCCATTCCAGTGAAATGTTAATGCTTACCAAAATGTGTTAGATGCAATAGACAGATGTTTCTGTCTTGGGGGTTTAGGGCACAACATTTCTGAGGAACTCTGACTCAATCTGTCCCTTCTCCTTTCACAGGGCAGCAAGGCGAACCCCATCCCTACTCACTGGAGCTCAGCTTTGATTTTTAACCTCCCTCCCCCACCCTTCCAGAACACACACATTCCCATTCCAAAATGATTTTATAAAGACATTTTAAACATAAGGATGCAACTTGGTGTGCACTACAGCAAATTTACAGGTGTTTTTTTTAAATTTCCAAAAACGGGACCTGGATTTCAGATGTAATTTTTAAAATTTCTATTTCTATTTTTTCTGCAGCAGTTGGGTTAGAGGAGGAGGAGCCTTTTAGCCTCTCATAAACTGACCTCTATACTTCCTCGCGTATTTTTAAGATTGATTGATGATGTGGAAAGGGCTTTGCTTGTCTGCTACTGAGAACATTACCCTTGCGGTTTTTGTGGAAACTGCTTTTGGAAAGAAAAAAAGAAATGAACTTTACTGACTTAACATTTTTGCACCTCCCGTTTTTCTAATCTGGGCTATTTTTATTTTTGTTTTTTTACAGTGAGATTTTTTTGATCTTCAGCTACAGTAAGTTATTCCAATTTTTTTTTTACATTTTTCCTGACTTTCCGCTGATTTCCTTTTTATTGTTGTTACTAGTTATTATTATTATTATTATTTATTATTATTATTATTATTATTATTATTATTATTATATACTTATGATGGTGATGATGATGATGATAATGACACTGATGATTTTTAACCGGATTAAAATCGAGTTTTTCTGAATGTTCATAAGAATTTCTTCGGCCTCCTGATTGACTTTGGAGTTTTGTATCTTGGGAGAGAGAGTGAAGGCATTAGCATTTTTAAGTGGATTGATCACATAAACCTTTTCTCTCCCAACCCCACCCTTGTCCTCAACCCCTTCCCCACACTGGAAATAATTTTACTGGCTGTTAAGTCTGTGACCTTATTTTTCCTGATCTTTAACTTAACTGTTTTAGAGCATCTCTGGACGTCTGTATTTTTAATTTTTTTTATTTTTGTTTTTTTATTTTTAATCTTTAATTTGTTAAATTTTTAAACTGTGCTGCAATAAAATGTGTGTGGTACTACTTAACACCTATAATGATGATGGCATTTTCCCAGAAAGCCATCTTCCTCCTCTTTCCCTTGAAATCCCATCCTGCTTTTCCTGTACACTACCCCTCACAAACCACAAGCTGCAGCAACATGGATGCCCAGCCTGGAGCAGCATCAGCCAGGATGACCTGGAGCCAGGGGGGCCTTCGGATCAGATGCACACCCTTCCTGGGTGATGGTAAGAGGTGTGAGGTCCACTTGGTTTCATGCAAAGAATAGGAAGTAGAGATTTAAATTTAGTGGATGTGGTGTAGGTCAGTGTCTCTGGAAGTGTTGGGATAAGCCCTTAGTGTGTATAGCTTGATATGACTCCCAATGGAGGCAGCCTAAGTTATTTGTAAAACTAATAGTTGAATAATGATGTATTCATAATTTGGGCTGATTGGAGAAATTTTTTTTAAAGAGAATTTTTTAATATTTATTTTTTAAGTTTTTGGTGGACACAACATCTTTATTTTTATGTGGTGCTGAGGATCGAACCCAGTGCCCTGCGCATGCCAGGCAAGCGCGCTACCGCTTGAGCCACATCCCCAGCCCAAGAATTTTTTGATAAATATGACAGCTGAAGTTTACCTGTAATTTACAATGAAAATGACTTGTTTTAATGATTAATAACAAGATGAGGACATTAGGCAGTCTTTTTCTTAGATAACTGCAAATTAGTGAGGACAGTCTGTCATTTAGAGCAATCTGGGTTTATGACAGTAATTTTGGACTGCATTATCTCATTTACATTTAACATGAATCAAACCACGAGATAAGCTCTAATGTTAGGAAGCTATCACTGAAAAGTTTTTAAGAATATGAGGAAAGGGGCCAGGTATGGTAATTCCAACACGCCTGGAATCCCAGCAGCTGGGGATTTTGAGGCATGAGGATCTCAAGTTCAAAGTCAGCCACAGCAACTTGGTGATACCCTGTCTCTAAAAGGGCTGGGGATGTGGCTCAGTGGTTAAGTGCCCTCGGGTTCAATGCCCAGTACCAAAAAAAGGATCTAGACTTCACCCCTTTTCCAGTGAGAATTGAGGCTCGGCAGGCTAGTGGGCAATCCAATGTGTTCCCTAATGTAATAGGAAGGGATGAATCCTGAGTATTTATAAGAATAACATTTAATAAAGACATGAATAATGGGAGTTACAACTTTTAAATCATTTGTAGTGGTACGCTTGTTAACACCAGTGACTGGGTAGAACAGCAAATTTGAAACCAGTTTGAGACAGACATTTTTCAAAAAGGGCTGAAGAGTCTTGTGTTGTGGCACATGCCTTTAATCCCGGTGAAATGGGAGGCTGAGGCAAGAGGATTGCAAGTTCAAAKCCAGTCTCTGCAATTTAGCAAAACCCTGTCTCAAAGAGTTGGATGTGGCTCAGTGGTTAAGTCCGTGGTACCAAAGAAACTGAAAAGGGCTAAAGTTGTATATGAGTGGTAGAGTTCTCTGGATTTAATCCCCAGTATGGGGAGAAAAAAAAGTTAATTGATGTGTTTTGCTGATTACAGCAAAATATTTTAATTTTTAGAGTTCTCACATATTTTGATGTGGAGGATAAGTAGAATGATATATTTTAAAGGACTATACAGTGCTGTGGTGCTAGGTCAAATTACATACTTGTTTCCTTTTTTACATACTTTTCCTTGTTTACATACTTGGACCTAAAGAGGAAAACAGGTATAAAGTGAATACATTATTAGATAGCCTCAAAGCAAAATAGAATGGGAGAAAGTCAAAGCAGAAGATCCTGAGGTAGGGAAGCAAAATGGAGTGTTTCTGTGTGGTGCTGGGGATTGGTCCCAGAGCCTTGAGTATGCTGGGCATACGCTCTGCTACTTTGCTACACACCCAGTTTGGAATTTTTTTTAGAGGTCCAAATTTTATTGATATTGTCCATTGTATTGAAGTTATCACTTCCTTCTGTTGTGGCACATGTTTACTATAGATTTGGTTTGATTTATTTCTTGTTAGCTTTACAAATGCATTCGTTTTTCCTGGTTTTAGAGATAAAAAAGTATAATTCCTGTTTTGGGATAGTCTTGTTAAGGGAGACACTTGAACTTAGTAGCAACATGAATAAGAATGAGCARTACATTGTGTAGAAGCATGTGAAAATGCATACCTGATAGAATATTAAGAGATCAGGGAATGCTCTTAGAGGAAGTTAAAGGAACCGAACTTAAGGCCAGATCATAAAAATTTTAGTACATTGCCAGGAGTTTGTATTTTATCCAGTAGTGAGTCAGTGAAAAATTCTGAAATGGGAAGTCACATCAGGTTTTTATTTTCAGGAATGTAATTCTTTTTTTTT